CGTGTCACTAAGAAAGTAAACTTACTTACTTACTTATCTTCACGCACAATCCCTGACGGGGTAGCCAGAGAGAACAGATCGCCAAGTGTCACGATCCTTACATATCTCTTTCGCTTCTTTCAGATTCATTATCTTCTTCATACATGCACGTCTAGGTATCCGAGTACTCTTGACCCTACCCTCTTCGAGCAATTTGCTCACATGGTCTTCGAAAGTTAGTCTCGGTCTACCTCGACACCTTTTAATATTAACTTTCGCGCTATATATTTTCTTCACCATTCGGTCTTCACTCATTCGCTCAACGTGCCCAAACCACCGAAGCACGCCCTTATCAATTTTTGTGATAAGGTCATCTTTCAAACCTGCCATATTGCGAATCTCTTCGTTTCGCTTTCGGTCGGCCATAATAACGCCGCACATTTTACGAAGAGATCGCATCTCCACTGCATTCAACTTACTTTTATGCTTCTTCTGGCATACCCAGGTTTCGCTGCCATATAACAAAGTCGGTACCAACACTGCGTTATGTATTGCAAGGCGTGCACTCTTCGCTACGCCTTGCCTTTTGACTAACGCAGTCAGGGCACCATTGACTTTGTTCCCGGCAGCGACACGCCTGTCCACATCTAAATCACATCTTCCATCCCGGCTAAAAGCACTCCCCAAGTATACAATTTCATTTACCTGTTCTAGACATTCCTGATTTACCCATATTTCACACTTCGTTCTCTCTTCGTCCCTTTCAAATACCAGAACCTTAGTTTTATTAGCATTCAAACGGAGACCTTTAATTTCATATTCCTCTTTCATACACGTGACTAATGCCTGCAGTTCTGCCTCTGATGGTGCAATAAGCACTGCATCATCAGCATACAGCAGACAATTTACTTTTATGTCACCCAATTTCACACCCAAACAGCTATCTTTCAGCTTTTGTAAACAGCTGTCGAGATACAGTATGAACAGCCAGGAAGACATGACACAACCCTGTTTTACGCCCGTTTGGACGCTAAACATGGGTGACAGGTCATGCCCTACCCGCACACAGGCTTTACAGTCACAGTAAAGAGACTGCACAGCCCTTAGCAATCGGCCATCCACACCATACCCCGGCAACAGTTCCCACATTTTCTTCCTTACAACCTTATCAAATGCTTTCTCAAGATCCACAAAAGCACAGAAAATCTTCTGGTTAACAGCCAGAAGCTTTTCCGTGATCATACGGAGAGAAAACATTTGATCCGTGCATCCTCTTCCAGGTCTAAATCCGCATTGTGCCTCCCATAGAAATCTTTCCGATTTCTCTTGCATCCTACGTGTCAAAACCTTCGAGTAAACTTTACTTGCTAAACTGGCCATGCGGATCGCCAATCATCCGGGACATCCCCCGTCCGCCAGCACAAATTGCACAGCAGATGAAAGCTGTCCCAGACGCGAGGCCCACCATACTTGACCATTTCAGCAGTAACTCTGTCTAGTCCCGCAGCCTTACCACATTTCAAACTTCGAATCGCACGTTCAATCTCTTTCATACAAAGAAAGTAAACAGTAGGCAAAAACTTGAGCAACGAAAACGTGAATTGAATTACACACACAGGAGTGCGCGTTATAGTTGTTGCCCATAATAAAAGTTTTTTTTTATAGGAGAGGGGGCAAACGAGCATGCGGCTCACCTGATGGTAAGTGACTACCGCCGCCCATGAACAACTGCAACACCAGGGGAATTGCAGATGCATTGCCGGCCTTTTAAAAAGGAGTAGGCTCTTTTCTTGAAGGTCCCTAAGTCGTATCGGTCCGGAAAAATCGCTGATGGTAATCGATTCCACAAGGAAGTCGTGCGAGGAAGAAAACATCTTCTAAATCGCACAGTGGTGGACCACCAATCATCCAGATGGTGTGAATGGTATCGGGAGTTCTGCCGCGATGTGCGTTCATGAAATTTGGCGGCTGGGATTAATCCGAACAATTCCTCAGAGCACTCCCCATGGTAGATGCGAAAGAAAATGCAAAGAGATGCAACATCTCTTCGCAGTGCCAATGAATCGAGCCGATCGGAAAGGGCTCGGTCGTCGACGATTCGAGCCGCTCTGCGCTGGTTGCGGTCAAGTGGAAGGAGCTGGCACTGGGGAGCCCCTGCCCAGAGATGGGAACAGTATTCCATGTGAGGCCAAACCTGCGCCTTGAATATACTTGCCGGCTTGAAATACTGTCCCGCTCTGCTGAGCACGCCAAGCTTTTTAGAGGCCAATTTGGCCTTCTCTTCCAAGTGACCACGAAACTGCACGTCACGCGATATGTCGACTCCGAGGATACCGATACTGGCTGAGGCAAGAAGGGGAGTGCCTTGAAACTGAGGAGATACGACAAAGGGGTTCTTTTTAGCGGTAAACGCGCAAACTTGTGTCTTCTGAGGATTAAACTGGACTAGATTTAGTCGCCCCCAATCCGAGACTTTGTCCAGCAAAGACTCGACTTCAGACACAAGTTTGTTCCGGTACTCGACGACGTTTTCCCGAGAAATATTGGCCCGGCCGGTGTATAGAGCATCACCAGTGCTGTTTTGTTGCATAGCAATGAATGTTACCAGTTAGCAACATATCATTGATATGCAGAAGAAACAGCGTTGGTGATAGCACACAGCCTTGTGGAACACTAGCGTTAATTAGCTTGTAGTCAGAACATGCACCGTCTACAACGACCTTGATGCTCCGATCTGCAAGGAAGCTGGTGATCCAATTGCACAATTTCTCGGGAAGCCCATAGGAAGGGAGTTTCGAAAGAAGCGCTTTGTGCCAAACCCGATCGAAGGCCTTTGCAATGTCCAGACTAACGGCCAACGCCTCCCCCTTGGACTCTACTGCCTCCGCCCATCTATGGGTCAGGTAGACCATAAGATCACCAGCTGATCGACCCCGACGAAAACCGTATTGGCGGTCACTAATCAGCTGGTGATCCTCAAGGTACCGGATGAGCTAGCAGTCAATAATGGATTCCATTATTTTGGAGATCAAGGAGGTGATCGCAATAGGCCTATAGTTGGACGGGTCTGAGCGGTCGCCTTTTTTAGGGATTGGGTGGACAAAAGCTGTCTTCCATGAATTCGGGACTACGCCTTAGGAGTAGGAGTACCGGAAAAGACGCGTTAGGACCGGTGCCAACTCCGGAGCACACGGCCTCAGCACAATTGGGGGGATTCCGTCAGGCCCACTCGACTTCTGGATGTCCAGGGAGAGAAGTGCTTTGCGAACTGAGCGCTGTGAGAATAGCACATCCGGCATGGAGCACTCACACCGCGGGATGGTCGGCGGTGTTTTCCCCCCGTCATCAAGAGTCGAGTTGGACGCAAAAAGGGAGCCTAAAAGGTCGGCTTTGTCTTTTGCGTCTTGGGCCAGTGAGTCGTCCTCCCTGTGCAGAGATGGTAGTGATGGCTTACAGAAATTCCCTTGGACAGCCTTGGCGAGAGACCAGAATGCACGGGTTCCCGAAGGAAGGCGAACTAGTTTCTCGCCAATTCTGCCTATGTGCTCTGGCTTTGCCTTGGCAATAACTCTTTTGAAAGACCTGGAGGCGAAGTTATACTTCTTTTTTAATGTGCTGGTGTTTACATTCCGAGTCACCGAAGCCGCAGCCCAGGCTTGATAAAACTCCTGCTTACTGCGCAATGCAGTCTTACAGGAGCGACCAAACCAAGGCTGAGATCTGCCTCCGATGGGTACCACAGATGATGGAATTAATAGTTCCATTCCCTATAGCACCACATCAGTGACAGAGTCAGCAACAGCGCTGGGATCATCCGGCGAGAAGCAAACCCGCCCCCATGGGTAGGATGCAAAGAAAGACCACATTCCGTCCCAATCCGCCGACCTGTAATGCCAAACACGGCGGCAACCTGCAGAACGCAACCGCGAAGGGAGCGTGAGTGGCACCATACTCCGGATCAGACAATGGTCCGAAGAGCCGAGAGGGGCATCGACGGAAACCTGATATCAGGAGGTCAGCAGAAGGTCCAACAGGGAAGGTGTATGATCCTCCACATCTGGAATCCGCGTAGGCGAAGTAACCAGTTGTGTCAGACCATATGCCAAGGCAAAGTCATAAACAGATCTCCCCGCATGATCGGTTAAACGTGAACCGAGCCATTCGGCATGGTGGGCGTTAAAATTGTCAAGGATCACGATCTCTGCGGATGGGACCTGTTGTAGCAAGGAATCTGTAGCCATTTGGACGTGGTCGATGAGTCGGTCTGTTTCGGCATTACCGCTATGGGACCTATAGAGGCAGCCGTAGACGCGCGGATGGTCATCGCTGTCTACGCGTAGCCAAAGGATGGACAGGTCCGAACCTTCAAGACTGCCGAGGCGTCGAGAACAGATGTCCTCTCTGACATACACGCAAACTCCAGCCCGAGGCACAAAGGAGTGCTCCAATTTGTACCCCGGGTAGGAGAGATACGAAATATCAGCTGGAGAGGAAACCTGCGTCTCGGTCAGAAAGAGCAAGGCCGGCTTCGCCGTCTCGAGATGGTAGTGGACGGCTTTTAGGTTAGAGTGAAGTCCCCTGATGTTGCAGAAATTCACGGATAGCGTGGCAGGGGTCGCCTTGGTATTGTTGCTCAGTTTGCCCCGAGCAGTTATGTTTTTGAGCGGAATTTCCCCCCCCCCCCCCCCCCAGAATACGCGGGGCAGCCTGAGCACCCACGCTCAGGATTGGAATAACATGGTCGTGGATGCTCAGCGAGGGATTCTCCAGGGGTACTGGTACCCTCCTGGGGTAGTCTACTGTGTAATTCCGCTACCATGTTGATGGGGGGGGGGGGGGATTGTGCCTCCGGCCACCTGCACTCACCAGACGAAACGCAGAAGCAGAGCCTCTACTTCACGCCGGTATTCTGTGAGGTCGTGGTACCAACCCGGCTTGAGCCGGCCCATACGTGCAACAGTAAAAACTGCTGCGGGGCTCTACGACCGTTAAATTGTTAAATTGTTCCATTTGTGTTGCAGGCACTGAATGCACTGCTGCAAATACAACAAGGCATTGAGCAGCTGCGCACCGCGGCGCCGAGCCTCGTGAACAACCTGGGGCTGGGCGTGGCGGCGGCCGGCGCGCAGCCCGCCGCGACCCCCGCCGCCGGCACGCCCGCCGCCCCCGCCAACTCCGCCACCCCCGCCGCGCCGAACAACGCTCCGCCCCGCCAGCAGCAGAACACTGAGCTCTTCACACAGGTTTGTGTCATAATAACACCTAATCAAATAGAAATAAATAGATGCATATTATTATTATTATGTCCTTTCGTTCTTTAGGAAGTTCTATGTGGACTTGTGATTGGTTTTAATGATGACAATAATGCTACACACTCTTTGTGTCAAAACAAAAGCTATCGAAGTAGAAATATGTAGGTCTATATTTATCATTATGTCCTTCAGACCCAATTATGTTCGTTTGGAATTTTTATGTTTAGCAGTGGACTTGTGATGTGCTGTAATGATGATGATAACACTGAAATCTGACATTATGATTGTTAAATACCAAGGCTGGCGATGTTAATCACAGAGGCCAGTATTAAATCTCAATTAATTCATTAATTTGCACAGGACAGCATTATAATCTATGAGCTACACAAAGTGCACTCTCTATTCCATTTTGGCCCGATTTGGGTTTCACTATTATTATCATGTAGTAATTTAATAATGATGAGGTCAATTACTCGATTGTCTTGTTTTTAACTAATACAGATAATTTATACACACTACTGGGTGTTTTTGTTTGTTCAGTTCATGCAACGCATGATGTCAGCTATGTCAAACAACCAAAACAACTCAAACCAGCCACCAGAACAACGCTACTCGCAACAACTTGAACAGCTCGCAGCTATGGGTTTTCTCAACAGAGAGGCAAATTTGCAAGGTGAGTTAAACAATTTAGATTATGGGTTTCATTGTTTTATCTTTAAACAAGTGGCCAACGATATTACTCCAAAGATACAAGTTATAAACCCTAGTTGCTAATAAATAACTTAATCATTAATGTGCTTGTATTTCAACACGGCCAACACATGGCGCGCGATATGTTGGAAATTGGGTTTTAACGCGTCAGCAACTTGCACACATGCAATATAATGTCTTACCACAATCATGCATTAAACTAAAGATTGGTTAATAAAATTTTCCCGTTTACCACTGCTTGAAAAGAAAAAAAAAAACTAGCAAACATTTAGTTATATTATTAACTTCTTCCAAGAAGTAGAAAAAGGATCCATGATTGCAAAATTTTGAAAGATATTTGCCCAGGAAAAAAACAATGAAGCTGTAATAATTTAATTGCAACTTAATATACAAACCATTAAGATCATTTTAGCATAGCATCCTGGGGGTTGAACATTTTTTGTCAACTTGTATAGTTCGGTAGTTTATTCGCTATTTATAATCTTCGTTCATTCATGACAGCCTTTCACAAATCAAATTGCTGAACATGAGCCTCTTTTATAAATTGTTTTAGGAGACTTTTATTTATAACTAGCTGTTCCTCGCGACTTGGCCCGCGTGTTAATTGGGGTTTTAGTTTTTTTGCGCGGAACCCTAATTCTTTTTCTAAAATAAAAGTAGCCTAAGTTAGTCCTTATGACATCAGCTATCTGCCAGTGAAAGTTCCGTCAAAATTGGTCCAGCCGTTTCCGAGATTAGCCGGAACAAACAGACAGACACACAGACAAAATTTTTAAAAATTGTGTTTTTGTTATAAGTATCGTATATACTTTCATATGCATTTAGTAAAAAAGCCGTAATTTTAACATTACAAACAGACACTTTAATTTTATTTATTTGTATAGAGTATAGATAATGTGTTGTATGCAACAATTAATTAAAGCATCAAACTTATTCAATGACAAATTAATATGAAACTTCATCACGAGTTAGTGCAGTATAAAGTCTAACGGAGACTACAGTATCTGTAGTCTCCGTTTCGCAATCTATGTAACAATTATTTAGTAAAAATATAATATTAATATAAAGTTTTCGCTTACAGCGCTGATTGCGACGTTCGGCGACATAAATGCGGCAGTGGAGAGGCTACTAGCCCTCGGACAATTATCTATGAGCTAACATCCTCGCGCACACAGACGTCACTTGTCAGGCTTTTCTCACTTACACCACCATGTCTTTATTGTCAGTTTTCATTCACATTGGCTACTACATAGTTTAATTCTGGATTATTGTTATTAAGCTACAGTTAGAAATTATAATGATTTCAAGTATTTTGGTGATATTTCCTTCATGATGTAATTATTTATTATTGTGCACGTATATTATTGGTGCTGCCGCCATTATGTTATAAATTCTTTTAAAAGGCAATATTATAATGCAGGGGTGTAGCAAGGCTTGCTTGCTGCCGCCTGGTACAGCTAGAGTAAAAATGTCGGCCCCCCCTTGCCCACTCATTTTCGCAGATATCGTTAAAAATTACTGGCATAGTTTAAAGTTAAAAGCTGAAACATTCCGCTCGACACCCTACAACCCCCCCTCCCCCTCCCTTACGCCACTATACATTTGTAACAGGGATATAAATTTTTGAGTTAAGTGGTTAAAGCCAGTCAAATTATTTCGATCCTGAAAATGTCAATTCAACAGAATGTATATTTATTAGATATATTTCAAAATGTATGGGGTCTGGGCTTTATCTATATTTGGTTCTTGGTACGTAATTATAAATAGGCGACACTTTGCATCTGACAGTTCACTTCATCCTGTGGTTCATTTTTAACTAAATTGGTGGGACGTCATAAAAAGAATTAATTAAAATGGTTGATTAAAAAATAATTTTGAATCACTGAAGTATAAATTTATATTATGTGTACATTTCCCTCGCGTATCTTTCTCAGGTTATGAGGTAGTGTACATAGAGACCTGGTTCATTTTGAAACATTTTTTTCATAAACCACAAGTACAGGTACAGGTAGTCCTCGTATTTACGGGCTTACGGCTGATTCAGTATTTAAAAAAAGGGCAAAATCAAACCGACAATGATTTCGACTTAGGACCGATTTATCAATCCTCAGAAAGAAATTATTCACAGAATTAAGTATAACCATAAACAAATTGAAAATTACAGTTTTACAAATAAAATAAGTAGTTAAGTTGTTATATGGTATGTATTTTTGCAAGAGTAGCCAAATTTTAAACTTAATTTCAAATATATAAATAATGATATACCGTTATTGCAGTTTTTAAAAATACTAGTAAATAAGGCTTCTACTTTTATTTGGAATTATCCCAAATAGATTGGGATTTATGGGCAACAACTACGGGTACGCGCGCTCCTCTGTGTGCGATTCATGTCACATTTTGCCGACCGATTGACCCTTACGAATGTGTGCGTACGTAGTAAAATAGTAGGCGTTAGATATTTATGAATGACAGTTCAGTGAAAATAATGCATTACCACGCATTTTGAATTGAAAAGATAGAAAGGACCAAATGTTTGAGATTTTTTTTTCATTAACTTTTCTTCACCATTTTCCTAAATTACTTGTTCTGAACATTATCTGATAATTTGGCCGGTTATTGCAAAATAACTCTGTATTATATATATATATATATATATATATTGTCAGGTTATAATTTATTCAATGAATAACTGTTATCTGACGATTGAAAAATCAGCCCTTAATCATTATGAATGTTACTTTCCAAACATTTAATGAATCTTTTATACAAATGTAATTAAGGAGATAAAAAGTGCTTATTGTTTGTCGATATTTTTTGACATGACTATCTACACTGATGTCCTCTACATGACTTTCTAGTTAGCATTACTTGCTCAATTTTATGTTATTGCAAAGAAGATATTTTAATAAAATATCGTATTTGCAATAAGATATGGATATGAATTGATTATGGCCCAGATAAATAGAGAAATTTAATATGAAAGAAATTACATATGTAGTTAAACCGTTGCAGGTTGCAAATAACAATAATTCATCATTTTATGTGTTTCCCATTTTGATTTTTAAATTAAAAAAACGAAGCAATAGTCACTTTAAGATTGTGTACTATAAAAATTTATTGTAAATGATATATGTATTTTCTACGCTTCTAATTATGTATATAAACACAACTTGCATAATTTTTATACGTTTCTTAAATCTTCTTAGCTTATTCTTTAAGTGCCCTTTTCTTGTAAATTAATAATTAAAACCTTTGGTGTAAGTAAGTAAGCCCTTGATGTACCAGCATTTTGAGAGTATAAGCCTACATCACTAGAAATCTTTGTTAGATTTATCCTGAAAAACTTGTAACTTTAGTAGGGATTTGTTAACTCTAATAATTTAATTTCATTCCTCTGTATATCTAGGTATTTAATTAGTTTCTCTGGGGAAACAAATCTTCCCTGTAATGTTGGGCAGGGGTAAATATCTTTATTTAGCATGCTATCTCTGTAAAGAATATAATTCCAATTTCGAATTGTCATATTCTTTTTATATGAATGTTAAATTTATTTTACAGATAGACTAAATTACATTTATGAGTGTAGGTTTATGTAAATAGTTTTGTCTTCTTACAATAAATATAAACGTAAAAAAGTTATAATTATAACAAATTGTCATGTTGTTTATCTACCCACAGTTTGTGTGTATTATTATTCAGTGCTTATAAATTTTATTAGTTGCTTACAAAATGATATAAATGTTGTAGGCTGGTGACTGATATCTGATTTAGGATTGCAATATAAAGGCTATCAAATGGGTCTCATCCGTTATTCTTATCCAACCAAAACATACAATTTACTATTGCACTCCAATACGTACAAAACATCTATTAATAAATACGTAACAAATTTTAAGATTTGCATTTGTTCTGGAAACTGTAATTTATTAATTAAATTAAAAACAGATGACGGTCCTAATCTGATCCCATGATTCTTAGAATTTATGGCCAAATAAACTGGATTATTGGTAATGATAATCAGTTGTTTTCTTTTACAATTTAAATATATAGGTGTAATGATTAAATTATGAAATTGCCGTTTTTTATTGAAACACTTAAACACTTCCTGCCTATATCATGACGCTACTGTAATACGGTTCAGTCATTGACGTTTTACCCAAACGGAACCGAGTGCTTCTAACTCAAAAACATGTCGACTGGGATAACAAACAATAAGAAATGCAAAAATTTGAACGCTCTATTTCCGGTATAAGACGGCAGCATTGTGTATGTGTAAACATACGCAATGAAAGCCGCGTAGTGCGACGCCAGTGTTGAGACGAACTAAACACAACCTTGAGCTTTTATAATCGTAATGCACCTCAATTAAAGATTTATGAAAAAAGTAATTTAATTTATTCAGTAGAATTAAGGTTTTTAGACTCACAAATAAAACATATTTGTTAAGTAAAGTTTATAAAAAAATGTATGCAAGTCAAAAGATAAATTAAATAATATTTCATTTGTAAATTGGTTAAAAATAACAGTATTAGACTTCAATCTTTTTTGTTAATTTAAACTAAAACAACGCATATATTATTTTAATTACCGAATTTAACTTTCCACTTGTACCCGGCACAGCGTCTGTTCCAAAGGTGCTACCCTCCTCTACTCGATTAAGGCGATTTCTTATTCTAAATTGAAAAATCATAGATGTTAAGTTTCGATATCTACAAAATAAGTTATTTTTACTCAATAATAATTAACCAAAGAAAACATCAATAAAGAAGTAAGTATGGCAACCCTTAAAATTGTAATTATTGTGCATATACATACATATCCGATTACGTTGTTTTAAATGCAAAAATGAATTATCTACCTCGCTTCAGTTGTTTTCTTTAAGGCTGCAGAATTGTTACGCTTCCTTTTTTTTAACACAATGGTATATGCACAACGCTTGCTTGCGCCCTATTGCTAAAACTAATAAAACGAAATTACATCATTATTCTACAAATTAGTCGTTTGTGCTACAAACGACTAAAATTATACTTTACTCGATAATTTATTTAGAAAACCAACAGCTTTAAAAAAAGATTACATCAGATTTAATTATCTTAACATAAGCCTTATTACAGGTTTTCCTGTTATCTATACATAATTAAAAAGAAAGAGCGACGCTTATCGGTACCAAAGTATTAAGGCGCAGGTTGAGCAAAATGTCGCGCCAGTCGTTATTTGGGCAATTTTTAGAAGCTATCTACTTTTTGTTTAAAAGATATATCAACAAATAAAAAACACATTATATTTCTACATAATCTTGATTCCATAAAAGCTATATCCAATTTTTTTTTAAAGGAATAAATATTAATATAATCTCCTTACAACGAAACCACATAAATGTGAAATTATTATTGATAACATGCATCTCCTCGTAAAGTAAGTATTATTTTATTTTGCGATTTACACCAATGGATAGGCAATTTATTAATGAACATTTCTATAGTAAATTTTTTTTCAAAAGACCAATATTTGATTTTATTAAGAAATTATTTTAAAATCTGGGCATATTTACTGCTCACGGGCTTGGTGAAGTCAGTGAGCGCTGAGCTCTTCGACGAGAAGCCCGTGTCGTTAGAGCGTCGACCAACGCATACGCCACGTCATATGAGTCGATAATATTATTACTTATTAGGTTATTTATAGGTAGTATTATTTGTTTGTTTTGGGTATAATTTTTCGTATTAGTTATACATATATTTGTTGTGCTTTTTACTGCGCGATGAAGCTTTTTGCGTGTATTTTCTTTGAAGTAAATGCAAATAAAAAAATGAAGCACCATTAGCATGTAAGGTTCGAATCCATAATTAAATTTCGACAAATATTATTAATTTACACTATAAAAGGCTAATTCAATATTATCACCCAACCACAATATCTTATCAGGTATAGTGCTGCCTCGTTGGTCTAGTGGTTGTAGTAGTGCGACTGCTGATCATGAGGTCCCGGGTTCGAGTCCTGGGTCGGGCCAAAAAGTCAGTTATGAGTTTTTCATTTATGTTCTAAGTTATAATTAGTATTATGTACTAAGTTATAGTTTTTTGCTAAAATATAGTATATTATTTATTGCTTGTTTTTTCTTCTTTTTCAAAAAATAATTGAGTACATAAGGTGTTCTATAC